TGCAAAAGTGTTACAAAAAGTTAGTCTAAATAAAAAAATTTTGTGCAATGTGTTAAAAATATATAAGTGCAAGCCAGTTTAAGCTAAAGTAATTCAACGAGCACGGGGCAATATACGGGATCTCGTGCAACATTCAACACCTACAACAACAGCAACATATTCACCATAGCACAATGTACGCCGTGTTGCTGTTTTTGACGCTGTCGCTGGGACTGACCAAAGGCGCCATACTACCAGGTATGTTCGCAGAAAAGTTATAAAAAATGCACATAAAAAGTCTCAAACAAATATTTAACAAACAACAATGCTGAAACACACACACACGCATGTGTATGTATGCTTGCACGCTTTGTTAAACAGGTGATTTGCTAAGCAATGCGGTCTAAATCTTTATACTTAGCGCTTGCCTCATTGTCAAGCTATGCAAGCAGAAAAAAGTAGCAAATACAACGAGAACAACAACACCTTGCAATTGCTGAGTGAGCAAGTCAGTGAGCAAAATCAGCGCAGATCAAAAACCAAAAAATTTAAAAAAAAAAACACACACACACACTTACATATACTTAGGCATACAGACACACATTAATTTACTCCCATACACCCGATTTATGTACTCACTTGCACTGCGCTAATGAGCTATTTGATTATATTTTCATTAGTGCCTGCACAACAACAGCAGTTAGTGATTCAATTTGCCACAAAAATTTCAATAATTTCACTTTTGTTTATATTTCTAAATCGCATTAACCACTGTGCATGTGTTTCGAAAACAGCAAGAAGACCGACCTTGCTGATGAAAATCTCTTTGCTGTATTTGCCTTTTTCATTTGAAATTTTGTAAGACGGTTTGATGCTTTTTTTTTATAGATTTTTTTTTTCAAATATTTTTCTTTTTAATTTCTTGAATGTTTTGACGTCACTGTTTCTAAATTCATAATCCGTCTGCTGCCAATTGTTTTTGCACTCATTTGGCGCATTTTCATTTTCGTTTTCACTTTCGATAATTTATGTAAGCAGTTTGTTGATTGCATATGACTTCTTGATCTGACAAGTTGTTCGAAATACTATATATGCCGTGATTTGAGATATGTTTTATTTTTTCCGAAATAATTGCAATATTTTTGAAAATTTATTTTTCTCTTAATATTTTTAACTCCCTCTATTCGACAGCCAACAAACTACTTTTTTGAGCATCTTGTTCGCTGTAGTGCTGATTTTGGCGCGAATGTTTTGGCTTGAGCTCTTGAATGATTCGGAGATTGTTGCCACAAACTTTGTTTCAAAAAAATTACTTATAAAAATAAATCAGGTGGAGTCAAATCTGAAGATCTCAGAAGTCAAGAATATAACTGGCAGTCTGCGCTGCTATGGAAAATGTTTAGCATAAACTGAATAGTTTCGTCAGATAATGTTCTTAGAATCAGCAAGACATCAGATATAATGGCTGCTGGCAAGCGGCTGTATATAGTATATACCTTCGAGGAAATGTAATAGACAGATAAATAAAGTTTACATGTAATGCCCAGGAACTTACAGGATCGCCAAGATCATGTGCAAGTGAGCGGAAAAAAACGCGAAAGCATTCTGCTCACATGATCTGGTAAAGACCGCAGGACAGCTGTTGAGCCGCATGTATTTTGTTACATAGTGTCACTTTTTGTTCAATCAACGATGGGTCTTTCATAGTTCTCTGCCACAATAGGCAGTATAGGGTGGGCTCGTAAGACCCATTTATAAGTTTTAGCTTAATTAAGCACAAACTCTGAAAATGACCTACAAAATAAGTAACAATATGTGACGATGTGAGTTTCTTATTAAAAAAAACGATCTTCGACCACATTCCAGAAAAAAATCAAAGACCGTGGTAGAACAACTCTCTGCATTGCTGTCTTTCCACATGACTGAATACTTGGCATACATGCATACATATATTGGTGGCTAAAATCGAAAAACAAATTAAGTGTTCGTTCACTGACACATTTACCCTATATACTATACATATGTTTTTGCTTACCGAAAGAAAATTGGCAAAATATTTTGCTGAATGTTTTTTCGTTTCTTTCTCTAAGTCAAAACAATTTAAGCAGCTACCGTTTCGACTATTTAACTGTAAACCTATATGCATGTGTTTATGTATTTGTGCCTCTCAAGCGCTGATTCATATATTTTTTTGCGTTTGTTTCACCGTGAACTTTCTATAGTTTCATACATTCATTCATAAAAATACAGCAGCATTCGGACTAAACTTATATTTGAGCATACAAAGCTACATAAGTACCTATGTATCTTTAAATAAACGTTTGTATAGAAGTGATTGTGCGTGATGTTTTGTATGCGAACGCAGCTTCTTTCTCTATGCGATTATGAATATTTCATTAGTTCTTTTGCGCGCTTAAATATAAACAAATACATAGTATAAATATGGATATAATAAAGACATACATGTGTACACCGACACAGAAGTCACATTGAACTTCATTGTTTGGCGTGGGCGTTTGTGTGTCACCAAACCACAATACTTTGGCACATTAAATGCATAGGAATATTTGTTTGTATATTTATAATTACCAGTATGTAAACATATGTGTGTATGAAATTATATATTCATGTACGTCTGCACATATTACTTTTCGGCCCCGATTTCAACATTTAACGCGATATATTATTTAATTTTCTTTTCAAAACTTTTCTTCTGCATTTGAATTCGACCACTTTCGCAGTTTTCTTAGCGCTTGAACAACATGAATTACCCTCCGTTGATTATGAATCATCTAGTGACTTTCATATCTCACTTTTTAAGCATATAATGCCTTGTATTCGCACAATTTATCGTAGTTTGGCATTTTCAAGCATATTTTTTGTTAATTTGGCTCCATTTTCTTTGTTTTTTTGCCATATAGTCACCTGCTGCTGTTCCAAAGTCCACAATTTGCTTTTAGCAACAGCGGCTTCTGTCTGTAGTTCTGGTGCAAAGTTACAAAATGTTTGTATCTACTAGTAGATAGCGCAGTCATAAAGATATACGCTAAGGTTGTGACGTCATTATTGCTTTTTTAAGTATTTCATTTATCGTATCGAAAATGTATAATGCATGAATCACTTTGGATTTCCTAAGAAATCGAAATTACTGTTGTTACTAAAGAAATTTTATTTATGCGCGAAATTCGAACCAATGTATTTATAAATATTTGAAAATGGTTATCGAAAAACAGAATTCAAACCAATATAAAAATGTTTGAACTTAGTTTTCGAAACTCGAACCAATATATAAATGTTTGAAAATGGTTTTGAAAAAGAAACTTGAACAAATATATAAAAAAATTTAAAATGGTTTTCGAAAAAAAAATTGAAATTCGAAACAATATATAAATTTTATAAATGGTTTGCGAAAAAAATTTTAAATTCGAACCAATATATAAATGTTCGAAAATGGTTTTCGAAAAAATAACTGTATTTCTTATATTGGTTAGGAAATTGTTTTCAAAACAAAATTCGCACAAATATATATAAAAGCTAAAAAAAAGTTTTCGAAAAAATTCGAACCAATACATATATGTTTGAAAATGGTTTTCGAAAAAAAATTCGAAATTCGAACAAATATATAAATAATTAAAAATGGTTTGCGAAAAAAATTCGAACCAATATATTTATGTTTGAAGATGGTTTTCGAAAAGATGTTCGAAATTCGAAAAAATATATGAATGTTTGAAAGTTTTCGAAAAAAAATCGAAATTCGAACCAATACATATATGTTTGAAAATGGTTTTCGAAAAAAAATTCGAAACTCGAACCACTATATAAAAATTTGAAAATGGGTTTCGAAAAAAATTCGCACCAGTATATTAATGTTTGAAAATGGTTTTCGAAATTCGAACAAATATGTATATGAATATTTGAAAATGGTTTTCTAAAAAAAAATCGATATTCGAACCAACTCATCAAAAGTGCAAAATCTTCACATTTGGCTCAGAGTACCAACTTTAACTTTTATACTTCCAGAGCTTCGTGATATTTCAGAGCCCAGAGTATCGTCCTCGCTCCTTTCGGAAGAACCTCTACTTTTTTACTTTTAGATTACAACAAATATGCAATCCTTGGATTTGTGTGCTGAAGTACCAATTCAATTGTATTTGAAAAGTCCTCTCCATGCTGTCAATAAATCGGTGTTAATATAATAATTATTGAGTTCGAAGGAACACTGTATTTCCAGCGTTTTTTAATCTTTAATTTTATATTTGCTATCATTCAATATTTCCTTGGCTGGGCATGAATCACTCTTCAAGCATCTGATTAAGTGCGTATATATGATAAATGCCCTCACAGTTGCATGAGTGGCAAGTACTCGAGAACAGATGTATGAATTCATGTAGGTATTTATGTAGTTAGGTATTCAGTAAATCACTTATGCCCAGGGAATGCATTATGCAGCCCAGTTAAAAATAGAATTTGTTACGCATGCAGCGCTTAAGTTCGCTGCACATGAAAACAGTATTGAAATTATGTTGGCAAATATATGAAAGGGTCATATAATGCATTATGATTCAGAAGTATAATTATTCAGAGGCTAAGCAAGCACTTCTTGGTGCCACTCTAGTATTTGGATTAAAAAAATACATTTTCTTATGGAAATTCGCTTTAATATGCTTGAATATGCATTTTTTCTTAAAAGTGAAAATTTTAATACAAATAAAAATTCACAAAAACTCATGCAGTTGTGATATATAATATATATGAAAGAAGACCTAATAAATGAAAGTC